GTGGTGGTGGTGATGGTGTTGATGGTGATGATGATGGTGGTGATGGTGGTGGTGATGATGATGGTGATGGTGGTGTGGTGGTGGTGATGGTGATGATGGTGGTGGTGGTGGTGATGATGATGATAATGATGGTGTTGATGGTGGTGATAGTGTTGGTGGTGATGGTGATAGTGTTGATGGTGGTGGTGGTGATGGTGTTGATGGTGGTGATGGTGGTGATGATGGTGATGATGATGATAGTGGTGGTGGTGATGATGGAGATGATGATGATGATGATGGTGGTGATAGTGTTGGTGGTGATGGTGGTGATGGTGTTGATGGTGTATTGATGGTGGTGATGATCACGATGATGGTGGTGATGGTGATAATGATGGTAACAGCAGTGCCAGACCCTAGTAAAACTCTTTAAATGCAGTATCTCATTTAATTCTCTCAGTAACCCAGTGAAGAGGCCCTGTGGTTATTCCCATCTTAGAGTTTTGGATACAGTTTCAGGAATTTGAAGACATTTGCCGGAGCAGCAAATACTTAAACTCTAACTCGAGGCACCAGCCCTGACCGCTTTACCCTATTGCCATGATATATACAAAGGCTGGAAAAAGCCGAGAAGACAGCAGGCAAGGGCAAGAGTGGAGGACGACTGGCAATCCGAAGGTCTCCCACAGCTCCTGTAGTTGAGCCAAAACTGGCTCTGCGCTTCCCCCAGCAGGAGAGATGTGGTCACTAGGTCATGTCACAACCCTGAGGGAGCGTGTTCCCACACTCTTGCACAAGCACATCATTTCTAAAACAAACTTCTCCTGTGCATCTGGCTGCCATTTAATTCCTTTTTTCGCTGCCTGCTGGCTTTTGTGAGACCACCTACCTTGTTTCTTTTGAGCCTCTGCAGTGGAAGGGAGGGGCTTCGGGAGAGAGGGCCGAGGGGGTGTCCCCCAGGAGGCCTGCACAGTTGGATTCTGAGACCCTTCTCTCTGACCCCCTCTTCCCCTAACAGAAATGCCTGGAGCTTAAGACAAGCCTGCTGGCCCGGCAGAGGGGCACCCAGTCGTCCTTGGACCGCCTGCGGGCCCTCCTGAGACTGATCCAGGGTGAGCAGATGCTCCAGGTCGCCAGGACGACCACCAGCCCTGCCCCGCTGCTGGCTGGGCCCTGGACCAAGCCCTCAGCAGCCGCCATGCACTCTGCCCTCCAGCACCCCCAGGGGCACAACTGACCCCGAGGGACCCGTCTTCACACCCACGGGAAGTTACTGGGACCCTGCTCACAAGACCTGAGGGTTCTCTCAGCCTTAATTCATAAACACTATGAATTTCAGACAAAAATAAAACCAGATCGAGGGAGACCGAGGAAAGAAGGGAGAAGGAGCTGGGTGAGGGTCCTAGAGCCGGGCCCTGGTGGGAGTGGAGCCTTTAGTCGGGACCCCCGGAGGCCAGGTGGGGTGCACAGTCGGCCCCGGCTGTGGTGGGACTGCCCAGGCCTCGGGCTTCTGGGCACAGCTGTCTGCACGGCCTCGTGCTGCCCCACGGGAGGGGGAAAGGCAGAGCGTGTGGAGGGGCCAGAATACTGCGTGGCCCACGCCCCGTGCCGAGGGCGACGCCTCTCGGGTGTCCAGCGGGCGGGAGCTGAGGACACAGACATAGCTGAATAGTAGAGGTAGGGGGACAGACGTGGGTAGCAAATCTAGGTAGGACTCCTGGCTCCTCCTTCAGGAGGGCCACCCCCGGGCCTGGGCCGCCCCGGCGCCTTCCAGAATGCCTGGGCCCATCTGTCAGTATTAGCATCAAGAATCGCAGCTGTTTAACTTGAAACGCGGAGGACGTGCGTGCCCGAGGGCACACTGCAGCGTTTGCCTGCCCCAGGCCTCTGCCTGCCCCGATGTCTCCAGAGCACCCTCGCCGGCGCCTCCCTCCTTCCGCGGTCTTTTGGACTCATTTTGCTCTCAATGTATTTTTCTCATGGAGTTTTTGGGCAAGACGGAGCTGCAGCCAAGCAGGGGAGGCATTTGGCAGGTTTTCTTTTTTGGGTTGAATCCTTCAACTTAAGACTGAAGCCTTTTCTTTTCTCCTTTCGAAGAGCCAGCAAAGTGTTCCATGCCTCTTTTCTTGCCAGTTCAGACACTATGCCAAATAATAACTTCCCATTTTTGTATGGCGTTTTTATTGTAAGATACTTAATGTGAAGGGGGGGGACACTTGCTGACTTTTTCTGCTGACAGTTGTCTCTGCTGCAAGGGACGCACGGGAAACCCCGCCTGGGGGGGCTGCCAAACTGGAGCAATCCAGAGGGTTTTTTAAGAAGTGGGGTGAGGGTTGGGGAGGAAGAGAGGGCGGTGACCTCAGGATGGTTTGGCCTTCGGAGACTCGCGAGTCCCTCTTCTTGCTGTCTCCCTGAGTTAGTGAGAGCTGAGGGTGCACACTGTCTTAAAAGGGCTCCTGCGTCCCGGGGTGGGCTGTGTCTGCGCCTTACACCCACCAGCTCCTCCGGTCCCGAGGGACTTAGCACAACTGGATGAGTATCTGGGAGCCGCAGGGCTCCCACCCCCAGCATATCACATGGTGCCGAATTGCGTTGACTACACGTGTGCGTGTGTGCATGCGGCCCCAGACACACACGTACACACGCACGCAGACAGGTGCAGAGCAAGGAGGCTGGCCAGAATCCCACAGACTGCCACGGTCCCTCCTGTCATTTTTCACGATTCCGGGAGAAACTGTGCTGTACGATACAGATCTATTTTAATACACTTAACACTGGGTTGAACAAGATTTTTATATTCTTCTATTGATGAACAAAGTGAACTGGGAGACACACGTCATATATATTGGTCACTCGAGATGCCGATTATGCATCACCGCGTGGTGGCGATGTAAATGTCTTCAGGTCCCCTTTCTGTTGGTTTGTGTTTCTTCTTGGATGGATTGAATTAAATTTTTTAAAAATGTAATGGGAGGTTATGAAAGCTTGGACCCGGGAGGGGTAGCTGCCGACGTGTCTTGAGACTTAGTTTTTTGGACCAAGGAGGACCGTCCAGTGGATAGTGAGGATAGAGAAAAAGTGTTTGTCTTAAATATGCCAATGTAGTTTCCTTCTGTACGACGCATTAAACTCGATTGAGGATTTCAAAGCCCCATGGATTTTGTTTCCTTGTCTTCGGCAGAGAGGCCCTGGGGGCACAAGGGGCCAGGAGGTGGAAATTGGAGAGGCTGGAAATCGGGGTCCTGCCCCCACCCCACCCTGAGGGAGGGAGGAAGGAGAGAGCTTACGGCACCCTCCACACGCTCATCCCTCTCCCCCGGCAGGTGGCAGGTGCACCTGTTAGGGCCAGGATTGGTGGTCGCAAGTAACAGAAACCCACCCGGCCAGGGCCATGCAGAGCCCAAGGGTGGGTCCCCACGGCTCCGGGGTCCCTTCTCCTTCTCCCGGCCTCGCCATCTCTTGCTTTTTCTGCCTCCTGGGCAGGGTGGCACACACGCCCCACAACCACCCTGGGGCTTAGTCCACGCCCTTGCAAGGGAGCAGCCAAACTGGGAGGCCGGCCCCTGCGTCCTGGCTCCTGCCGTTGTGCAGAGGCCTCTGGTCGGCCCAGCGGGGTGAGGAGACCACCCCTAGACAATCTGTTGTGTCCAGAGGGTGGGGTCAAATACAAAGTGACTGCCCACCAGGGCCCCCGGGACTGAGAGGTGCACCCGCCCAGCGGGGGTCGGCTACAGTACCGTCCTGTGTCACAGTGGGCCCGGGGTCACATAGCTTGACTGCTCTAGCTTCTCTCTTCTGCCCAATCACTGAATGCGGAGGGCCCAGGTCTGTGCTCCGACCTCTCCTCTCCGGAATTCCGTGGCTGGCCCCTCCAGCCTCCTGGCCTTCTGTCTCTGTGCTGGTGGCTCCCCGACTTTTACCCCCAGCCTGGACCCCCGCCATGGACTCCTGCTGCAGACGCCCAGCTGCCCACAGCCAGCCCCCCGGATGTTAGCAGACGTCTCAAACTCAGCTTAGTCTCCAGCAGACCAACCCGTCCTGCACCTTCCCCATCTCAGGGGAATTCAGCCTCCCTAGTACGTGGGCCAGCGCCCGGGAGTCACCCTCGACTTCCCTTACCCTCCACACCTGGTCATCAGCAAAGCTATCAGCTACGCCCTCAGAACATAAGCAGGATGTGGCTGTGTCTCCCCACCCACACCAACATCGCCTGGTCTCAGCCCATCCTCTCACCTGGATTACTGCGGCCGCCCCCTGAACATGGTCCCCTCCCCCATCCCACAGCACCAGCCTGATAACACCTCTGTTAGAACTTCTCTGTCACTCCACCTGGCTTGGCAAAACTCAGGTTCTCCAAGGCCCCAGGCACTGCATCCTTCCAGCTCCTTCTGCCTCTTATCCTACTCCTTTCCACTTTCATTGCTCTGTTCCAGCCACATGGCCGCCTTGCTTTGCCTGGAATCCACTAGGCATGCCACCACCCCAGGGCCTTTGCACGTGCTGTGGCCTCACCCAGCATGCTCTTCCCCAACTCTCTCCCTGACTGGCTCCCACACCTGCCTGGGGACTTCACCACAGTCCCCTCTCAGTGCAGCTGTCCCCGGCCACCCTCGCTAAAACCTAGCATTTCCTCTCCTTCCTTGCAGGCAGGTAGGTTGGTCAGTTTTACTCACCAGATCCCAGAGTCTAGAACTCAGTGAGGAGGTGCTCAATGAATATTCAGGGACTAGATGAAGGCGCCCTTCCAGAGACAGAGCTACCAGGCCTCGGGGCTGCCCCTGGCCTGGTTCAGGGCCCACCCCCTCAGGGCCCACTCGGCACGACCCTGCAGTCGTGCGGTGGGTGAGCCTGGACTCCACCGCATCCTGGTCCTCAAGTCCCGCAGGGGACCCTGCACAGCCCACCTCACTCCCACCAAGAGAGGAGGGGCCCGGGGGACAGCGCGAGCCTCCTGCAGCTCCCTGACCGGGGTGGGAATTCCCCCCAAAGGCAGACCCCTCGCCACCCCGTCCTCCTCCCCGGTGATGGGAATTCCCTCCCCCCTTCCTGGGAAGCCCCTCCAGGGGCCGGCCCTGCCATTAGAAAGGGGGTCACAAGGTGTGTGGGCATCTGCCTCCTGCAGCTTCGTGCGCCCCACCAGTGCCCAGGTGACCCTGCGCCTGTGCTCCAGGACAGCCCTTGGGTTGGGACAGAAGCCCCTCTAGCACCTCCTTTTCCCCAGCTCCCTCTGACCCAGCCCCTGGAGAGCAGGGCCCATCGTAGCTCCACGGGGCCTCCCAGGCCAAGTTCAGGGTTGGAAGGCCCTCCAGGACAGGCCATCGTGATGGCCATCCTGAGGGGGCCTCTGCTTACAGACGATGGTAATGGGGATTCACAACTTCCCGGAAGTCTCTGCCCACTGGGACGCTGTCTCAGTTTCCGGGGGCTGCCGTAACCAAGTATCACAGACCATGGGGCTTAAACCACAGAGATGTATTCGCTCTCAGTTCTGGAGGCTGGAAGTCGGAGATCAAGGTGTCAGCAGGGCTGGTTCCTTCTGAGGCTGTGGGACAGAATCTGTCCCAGGCCCCCTCCAAGCTTCTGGTAACCTTGGGCATTCCTTGTACACAGTCGTCTCTTCCCCGCGTCTTCTCATTTTCCCTCTGTGCGTGGTTTGCTGGCGATCTTTGGTATTCTCTGCCCCGTAGAGACATCACCTTGATCTTGGCCTCCGTCTCCACATAGCCTTCTCCTGGTGTGCGTGCCTGTGTCCGAATTTCCCCTTTTCATAAGGACACAGTCATATTGGATTAGGGGCCACCCTAATGATCTCATTTAAACTTAGTCATCCTATTTCCAAATAAGGTCACATTCACAATACTGGGGGTCAGGACTTCAGCATCTTTTGTGGGGGAGACAATTCAACCCACAGCAGACACCTTTTCCTTAGGTTGTCTGAAATCTGCTTCCCCATGGCTTCTGCTCCCTGGGACCGCCCAGAGATGCCACACATGCCTCATGTACCCCCACACAGCCCACAGGGTGGAGAGTCCACAGTGTCATCCTGCTGACTAGCTGAGTCCCTGATGATCTGCTCCATGCCCACCCCACATGGCTCCTTCCTCGGACCTGCTCTGGCATGTCACAGCCCCTCAGAGGGGACTGAAGCACAGGGACCTAAAGTGACACACCCAGGTCACACAGCCAGCAGGTGACTTCAACCTGGGCTGTGGCCCCATGCCTGCACTCCTGGCTACTCTGCTACTCTGCCTGCTGGACACTGGTCACCTCATGGGGCACGTGTGGACAGCTGGAGGCCACCCCACCAAGCCACCTGACCCGGCCACCTCACCTGTCTGGGGCTGCAGATGGCAACCCGGCCCCTGGGTGACTGTGCAGGTAGGAGGGG